CATGAGCTGTATTTTAAGGTGAAGCAACTTTCGCTACCTAACCATTTTTTTGTCTCTTTTTATACCTTGACCTTGCATAATCTGGTGCCGTTCCCCCCGCAGGTTGCGCGGGCGCGGCCGCAGTCCCAAGGGCTGCACGGAGCTGAGCGGCGCCATCATCTACGACGACCTCCCCTCCGCCCCCTCCATCGTGCCCGCCCGCACACGCCCGCGGTTCAAACCCGTGCCTCTCGACGGCGAGGAGGTAGTGGGGATGACCATGGGCGTGCACCTGTACACTCCCGAGCCCAGGAGCGCCGCGCCCTCCGAGCACCTGTATCAGAGCATCTCCTCAGGTGAGGCTCATGCGATGTCGCTTGTTATCACATCTTAGATATATACTTTTGGATTGTGGCGTTGTGCTTTGCAGTTTTTTGACTATGTGCTTGTCCTCTTCCTCAGGAAGCGAGACATGCAGTTACAGCACCAGCGAGGCGGCGCCCCACGACGGGCGCTCCCTTCTGCGCCCTCCGCACCCTCGAGGAGGCCTGTGCCCCTCGCCCATCCTCCCCGACACGGACAGCGAGGACGAGCCCTTGGGCCCTGGGGGCGTGGCTCCGCCCAGCGACAATGACACGCCCAACACCTCTCCCAACCGCTCGCGCTACTACTGCCCGAGCGCGCCCCCGCACCGCTGCTCCCCCGCCGGCTCGGGCTCCGACTACGAGAGCGTGTACTACGTGGGCGGCATCCGGCGGGAGCGGCCCCTGACGCCGCAGGAACGAGGCCTCCCGCCCCTGCCCTCGCGCACGGACCGCTTCCGCATCTACTTCTCGGTGGAGCGCGGCCAGCGGCGCCCCCCGGGTCGCAGGGGCTCTTCGGGGCGGCGCCACAGCGGCCACCACCACCCGCTCCATCCGCAGCAGCACCATCCGCCCGAAGCCGAGCCGCTCTATGAGAACCTGACGTAGGTCCCGCGGCGTGCGACGCCGGCGGACCGCTTTTCCCTCGACAGGACGCCGCCTGTGCTTCGTGGACGGGCCATGGGGGCGGCGCGCAGTGCTGGAGAGAACCCGTTTGAGGCCTGTCCGGTGGCGCGGGCGGCTGCGTATCTGTGATGGCGTGGATGGCAGACTGATCTCAGGGTACAGAGTTGGAGAGCGACGGCGTTGGAGAGCGACAGCATTGGAGAGCGACGGCGCTAGAGAACGCGGGGCGATTGGCGACAAGGGAAGGGAAGCCTTTTCCTCTCCAGGTTATTTTGTGTTAGCTGTGAGTGTGGCAAGTCCTTGATATTTCTTGAACCTTTAGTGAGAAATGAAAATAACTGAACTCCATATCAATAACAAACTCTGTATAGTGCATTGGTACGCAGATCAAATCCATATGTGAAAGGAGCATTTTGTAGACTGGTTTGGATCAAAGTGCAGGAGCCGATTAGTGTTACCGCGAGTAATGTCCTGTTGAACCGACTGTGCGAGTGTTTACCCGAATTTCCGCGGCGACCCGTTCAGACAGTTCGAACAAGCACGGACGCGAGTTCGGGTCGCTTGCCTATATATGGCAGCTGGAAGGACGGTCAGCAAAGGAATGGAAACTGTCTCAGGCTGCAGTGAAGTCCCAGTGAATCCGAAAGAAAGGAAGTGTTGAGGAAATCCGAACGTAAACTCGCCAGCCATGAGTGCCAGAAATCCAGTAACGAGAGCGGCTCCTTTTCAAGACGCCGTTGACTGCCCTGGCGAAGAAGGCGCAGGTGACGGCGGAGGCGAGGGAGGGAAAGCGTGTCTGTGCCGAAAGCGGACAAACACACACAAACACACACAAGTAGTTGGTGTTGTCTCAAGGTGCAATCTAGTCCTCTCGTCCGAGCGCACGCACACACACGCAGCCTCTCACTGGCCGGTAGACTGACCCACCAGTAAATTCACACATATTCCCAAGTGGTAGGCCTAGGTAAATTCAACCTTAAAATACAAAAGATCTCCATGTGTACATTTGCATTTACAAAAGATTGTAAGATTGTAACGTCAAACAGTAGGCAAAAAATTCAATAAAAAGGTAAACACACACACACACACACACACACACACACACACACACACACACACACACACACACACACACACACACACACACACACACACACACACACACACACACACACACAAAACACAGAATCATGTCCTCATACACATACACTCACACATTTACACACAGGTACACACACCAGCACTCTGTTTAGTTACCGTGAGCTACATATCATCATCGCATGTGAGTTAGCCTGTCCTCCTCGGTCATGAATAAGACGAGTCATTCCAGCCTCAGATGATTAATTTGAATCTTTATTTCCAATTATTACACAACTCATTTCATCAGAAGGATTCTTATTTTGCCTCTATATGTGTATATTTCTTCCGTCTATCTCGTCAAGCATTTTTTTTTTGTTTAGAATATATGAATGTGAGTTTGTGTTTCTGCGTTCATGTCAGCGTAACTTTACTCCGTGTGGCATTTAAGTTCATTCATAAAAAGCAGAGACAACGCTACTCAGACACTTAAGACGCTGAGTGACGGCTTTGCTGGGTTCAGAAATGCTGAATCGAGGTTGTTCGCATGGATCTCCGACCAAAAAGTATCCTTTATCTTATTTTGTATATGGTAGAGAGGAGCATAAAAGATGTACTGTAAGGGTAAGGAGACAGGCATCCGTGTCTTGCAGGACACATCAGGGTTATTGCATTATTACCATATTTTTTGTGAGAATATATGTTTCATCATCGTTCATATCGTTCGTCAGTCATCCGTTCATATTTGTTATCTTGTTCTTTTCACCTCCTGTTCTTTCTTTTATTTTTTTTATTGTTCTCTTCTGTCTCTTGTGTCTTTTTCTTTTCCATTTTTTTTGTCTTTCATCATTTGATCATTCTTACATTATTTCGTTTCAGTTCATTAGCCTAAGGAAAAAACATTAAATCTGTTGTCGCACTAACTAGTCAGAAAGTTGACATTTTTGTGTTCATTTGAGAAAAAAGGAAAAATAACTCTTACTTTACATTATTTTTATTGAAGCGGTGAGTGCTCAATGTGATATACTTATATATTGATATGTTTTATAAGAATCTATGGTAATTGTCGGCCTTCTGTGTTTTATTTACACCGTCTATGTTATTGGCAGGGCGCCCCCTCCCCTGCCGCCATGTCCAGTTGATTGAAGTCTTTGTGAAATAAGGGCAAAGTTAAAAAAAGAAAGAAAAAAAAACAGAATCTTACGGTATAAGCAAATCATATTTCCTTTTTGAGTTTGACAAGAAATATTCGGACAAAAGAAAAGAAATCTCCGCCCAATTGAGCTAATGGAATCGGCGCCGACCTGCCAGATTTCGCTCGGTATCGGGTAAGTAACTTTAGAGATGATGAAATGAATACAAGGAAAGCGCTGCGAAGGCGGATCATCCCGAAGCCAGGGGGAAAAGGGCATATGTTTTACTACGATGTGCTTTGAGTGTTGTTTTATGATATGCCTTTTATCCTAGACTTCGGAGGCATAGTAAACAAGGAGTAACATTTGCCGTATTCCTTTTACTGAACTTTGGAGACAGGGTGCACTAGGAATATAATTTCCCATTTTATAATAAAAATATGAAACAAATGGAGCATTACTTTAATAATCTATTTATAGTAAGCTGTAAAGATATGATATGCAAGGAAAATCACATTGCCACGTCTGTGAAGATGTGATATTAGACTGAAAATATATCCAGTATTGTTTTGCCATATTTTTTTTTCTTAGTAGGCCATGAAAATATGACATGAGAGTATAATTTTGGTATATGAATTTCGTACTAGACTGAAAATCCTCCGAATATGGCTGAGAACGCCCAGGCTGAAGTGTCGGAAGATGGAGCTGTATGGATTAGGCGGTTGAAGCGGATACTACTCTCGTATCCACACATTCATTGAATAATCCTAACCATTATGATTTTTTTTGTGCATATCGCAAGGAATTAATTACAGGAAGCGTTTAAATTACTCTCACTTAATTGCGACGAATGTGAAATTTCCCACGTCATCAATGTATGATGTTAATATTGGTTATATTGCTGGGAATGGGAAAGGGAGAGGGAGGGAGGGAGGGAGGGATATATATATATATATATATATATATATATATATATATATATATATATATATATATATATGTATTATATATATATATATATATATATATATATATATATATATATATATATATATATATATATATATATGTATTATATATATATATATATATATATATATATATATATATATATATATATATATATATATATATATATATATATATATATATATATATATATATATATATATATATATATATATATATATATATATATATAATATATATGTATATATATACATATATATATATATAGACACAGACAGACAGAAAAATAGACAAAGACAGTGAAACATGTTTATAAACTGCATGTTATTGATGGCTGTAAGGCATGCATGTTACATCTTTTACATCGGCATTTGGTTACGAATGGAGTTCCTTATGGCCGCTGTTGCCCATGTAAAGCCAAAGAAGGGTAGACGAGCGAGGCTTCTTGCTCCAGAAAGGCGACCGGGTTTTTGGCTTCAATTACGGCTCCAACGTGCTTGAGGCGATGGCTGCTCAGCCCCTGGGACGCCGCTCTAACGAGGCTTCCTCAGACACCCTCCAATTATGAAAGATGGGTGCTGTGTCTTACGTAACAGTAGGATGGCTTTCAAGTATCTGGGGAACACGTTGCTACGCTATTTGATAATTCAGAATGAACTGTATCTGTGAACATGTAGCGAAAGGGTCGTGTAGATGCCCTGTGGTAATGCTGCAACTATGAAGTCAAGACGTAGCTAAGCTGCGAAGAGAGCGGCCGGTCCATAAACACTCCGAGTGAAATGAGCAGTGCAGACAAATATCCCTTTCAAAACAGGAAACAGAGGCGCACAGAGCAGAGGTAACACTTCGCTGCCCCCCCCTCTCCCCGATCCGCTTCCCATCCCACGACACTCACTCTGAAGAAGACATTACTCACCCGGCAGCAGCAACAACAGCAGTGCAGGCTGAGTACGCGAGGACACGCATATCCGCCTCTGTAATTGCTTGCGGTTACCGACAGTCGATTTCTACTCGTATGCCGCCCAGCCTCCCCTTTTCTTAGAAACAGACCTTGAGGGTTGATGAAGTCAGAAAACATGAAAACGAACAAGTAAAATGGTGTCCATAAGAAGAGCGCAGAATAAGACATCATCTAAATTACAGTGTAGCGCCACGCAGCAAGCCGGCGTACCCGACTGATTCACTGAGCTATGACGTCTTCATCAGCGGCGGCGGCAGGTGGGGTGCGAGGCCCACGCCACCCAGGGAGTCGCCAGGTACACACTTACCTGTTCCTTGTAATTGAAAGGTCGACACACGAGGGCTGGAGTGACGATTAGCATGTTAGTGCATGGCGCCGACTCTGTGATACGGACCATGCGACGTCGCCTGCGAGGAAGATAAGCCAAGTCGCCGCAGAACTCTGTGGGCAGAGGAGGCTGTTTACTTCTCCGGGACTTTGTAGACCACAGGTATGAGGGCGGAGGACAGGGAGGGAGGGGGAAGGAGAGAGGAAGGAGGAAGGAGGAGGGGATGAAGGGAGGAGGGTAGGGGGAAGGAAAAGAGGAGGGAAGTGGGAGGAGGGGATGGAGGGATGAAGGTAGGGGAAGGAAGGGAGGATCGGGAAAGAGAAGAGAAGGGGGAGAAAGAGGAGGGGGAGAAAGAGGAGGGGGAGGTGGAGGAAGGAGGAGGGGATGAAAGGAAGGAGAGAGGGGAGAGAGGAGGTGGGAAAGGGAGCGTAGGATGTAGGAGGGGAGGAGATGAAGAGAGGGGGGTGGGTGCAGTCGACAGAAGGAGCGAGCCCGAGGGCGCCCCGCAACCCCGCCCGCCCGCCCGCCCCTGCCCGCCACACCACAATCACAGATTTCACGGCTCATAAGACGGTCTTCCGGAGGACAATACATCTTCCCCGTGCTTCTCCCTTGTGCCGCATCTTAAGGCTTTCTTAATATCCCTCCGAACAAACATTAGGCCTACTTGCCCCGCACTTGGAACGAGAATGGGACGCTGATCCTCTCGCCTCGTTTTGGCATCACAAAACATCCTCACATTTGTGGTTTGTTCACACACACACACGCACACACGCATATATATATATATATATATATATATATATATATATATATATATATATATATATATATATATATATATATGTATATATATATATATATATATATATATATATATATATATATATATATATATATATATATATATATATATATATATATATTTGTGTGTGTGTGTGTGTGCGAGCTTGTGTCTCTGTATGTATGTATGTATGTAAGCATCAATTTCCCAGCTAGCATGAACACTTTTGAATCTCTCTTCTGTCCTCGTGTTTCTCTTTCTCCGTCCCTCTCCTCCCTCCTTCCTTTCCGCTCTCCTGCCCATCTGCGGTTTGGTCACTTCATGGCACCAACTTTTTGTGTCTCTGTTTAACCCTAAGTCCCTCGCTCTTTTGTTCGTGGTAAAAAAGAGAAGAAAAGGAGAATTACAAAGCCACGCTGCAAAGACGATGTTATAAGAGATGAGGCGACGTTCGGAGTTTCCTCAATTCATCTTCAAGTGGCGATGCTTCATCCTCGCCTCTCAGCATCATTTCCTACAAAAATACGGAGCCCCGAGGCAAGAGCTGTTTCTGTCCGGTGATACATTATACATATTTTTCCGAGACAGTATGGTGTTGCTTTCTACTTTTCTTAGAAATGAGCAGACTTAGCGTTCCATTTCTTATTCCTCACAATAATAAAAAAAATCGGGATAGAAAGAAGCTCCGAGCACACAGGCGACAAACCACCACGAATACCGCTTAGAAAAAGGGGAACACGAGCAAAAACAAGATTCGGTGC